ACACACACACACACACACACACACACTGGTGCTCACACACATGCATGCTGTGTGCACCCCCATACACTGACCGTCATGCACTTGCACACTCACATCTGCGTGTCCCATGGCTCAGTCCCAGGAGGATTTGAGCCTGGAGTGCTCCAGGCACCAGGGCATCATGGGGTGCTGTGGCACACCCGTCGCCTGAGGTTTCTGGGCTGATTTTGTAGTGGTGCCAGGGGGCCTACAAATCCCACACAGTCCTTTCCTTGCTGCTGGGTCAGCCCAAGTAAGTGCCCTGACCCCTCAGGCCTCTCTTTTCCCATCTGCACAGGGGGCTGCTGCTGATGTTTCCCCTCTTGGGAGGCTTGACCAGGTACCTGAGGTCCGTGCCAGTCCCAAGGTTTGCAGATTGTTGTGTGAGTGCACGTGCTTGTCCCGCATACCCCAGCGGGGATGACTCCTCACATGTGCACAGCCCTCCACGGTTAAGGCAGCACCTCTGAGGCCACTGTCCATTTTGGTTTGCTTTTCTTTCTTTTTGTTTTTAATTTTTTTAATGTGTGTTTATTTTCGAGAGAGACAGAGCGTGAGCGGGGGAGGGGCAGAGAGAGAGGGAGACACAGAATCGGAAGCAGGCTCCAGGCTCTGAGCTGTCAGCACAGAGCCCGACACGGAGCTCGAACTCCTGAACCGTGAGATCATGACCCAAGCTGAAGTCGGACCCTTAACCAACTGAGCCACCCAGGCGCCCCCATTTTGTTTTTCACATCAGCCCTGGAGTGGGGTAGGCAGATGCCTACACTGAGGCTCAGAGCGATGGCCTAGTCGGAACCTAAGTCTTTGCTGTGCACCGTGATTGGCAGTGTGTCCTTAGTGGGTACAAGGTCACCAGCCGGTCAGGGCTGTGCTGTGGCTGGCACTTGGAGACTTTCCTTCCGGAAAGACTTGGCCGGCTGTGGAGCTGGGCCAGGCCCTATGCTGGGTGGGGTGCTGGGTGGGTGGGGGGGATCTGGGTGTGCATGGAGCTCAGCTTTGCCCTCCAGAAGCTCCCTTCCCAGGATCAGGGAAAGAGCCTGCGGGAGCACCAGGCCTGGAGACCCCTGCAAGCTGCTGCTGAGCTATCCCCTGAGGGACAAGGATTGGGACAGTACTGGCAGCAGGAGCCACGTGAGCAGAGCCGAGGTGGCCTGAAGCAGCGTGTGTGTAGATTTCCATGGGGCCCGAGGGAGGCAAGTGTTCAGCACGAGCCTGAGAGTCAGCGGAGCCCCAGGGCTGTGGATGCCAGGCTGAGGAGCTGGTGGCCGTGGAGATGGGGCATTTCACTTGGGAGGCGAGAGATGTCTTCATGTGCTCCCTCGTACCCATCCCTCGGCCTCAACAATTGTCAGCTGGCAGTCGGTCTTGTTTCCTCTTATTCCCTCCCACGCCCTCCAGGCAGCTTCCCATTTCATCTGTAAATATTTCTGGATGCATCTCTGAATGATCAGGAGTCCTCAAAAACAAAAACAAACAAAACAAAGCTCTGTAACCATAATCCTCTAACACAACTCAAATCATTTTACGATACTTCCTTCATAGCATCAAATACCCAGTAAGTGTTTTGGTTTCCAATTTCTGCCATAAACGTGTATATGTTTTAAGCTTTGCTGGAATCAGATCCAAACGAAGGTCCGTGACTCCAGTGGTTTGTTTCCCTTCATCTTTTATTGTTTTCCTTGAGATTTCTTTGCTGAAGCCACCTGGCCTGTCGGGTTTCCAGCTATCTAGATTTTGCTGCCTTTGTTTTTGTGGCAGTGTTTAACGTGTTCTCTGTGCCATACATTTCCCGCAAGCTAGGACTGACCCCTAGGGGCTCGATAGGGGTCAGGTCCAAGTTTTTTGGCATGACTGCTTCATAGGAGACATTGTGTGCTTCTCTCCCAGGGCCCGAGATATCTAGTTGTCTCTGTTTTTTGTGATAGGAGAAGCCACCAACGACCATTGCTAAATCCATTATTTGTCGGTGGTAAAATAGTAGGAGTCTAATATTCTAATTTCGTCCTCATTTCGTAGCTGCAACTCACCTCCAGATATACACCTCCCTTCCTCTGTTGGTTACCCTGTGGTACAGTCTGTATAGAAAAGGCGGGATAAATCCTGATTCTTGCCCTTAATTTTCCAGTTGTTAAAAAAAAAAAATGAGTCTATTTCCCAGCTGTTCTCCAATAGTGACTAATTATTTGTAAGTATCGCTGTGGTCTCATAGATTGGAACGTATTTGATGTGTTTTCATCCGTTGCAGTAATCATCCTTACCGAAGCTGAGATTGGCCCCTCTTTGGCCAGTGGGAGCCTCTTTAGGTTGGTTCCTGAATCCTTTGATGTGGCCCCAGGGTTTTGCTTGCTTCCTCGATTCCTGGGATGACTGGATGTGGTGTGCGAGGGTTTGTGTGCCCGTGAGAGCACACCTTCCTGGACAGTCTCCTCCCTCTCACTCAGTACCCTGCTGGCAGCAGAGGGGTTGTGGGGGTAAGAAGCTGGCCATGCTGGGCCCACTGGCCATGACGTAGGAGGGGAAATTGAGGCCCACAGGGATCCCTAACTCAGGATCTGCAGGCCTTAGAGCCTCATTAGCTGCTTCCCGAGCCCCAGAGGACCCAGAGCCAAGCCCTGGGTTTGGCTAATGATCCCCCTGCATCCCCAGAAGTACCTCCCAGCGCCCTGTGAGGGCTCCTCTTCCTCCCTCCCCGGGCCCCACACAGTCCAGAGCTTTCAGAGCAGGGAGGAGCGGAGGAGGGTGCACTGGCCAGGCCGGTGTGCTCAGCTTCAGATTCCCTATACCTCTGTGCCCTCGGGCAGCTCCTCATTCCTCAGCCTTCCCGTCTGTGCAGTGGGGATGATAACCCATCCTGCAGGTGCCCCATTTCTGATACAGCTTACTGTCCTGGGCGCAAAGTGGGAGAGAGCGCCGGGGGGCTGGGGCAGAGGCTGGCCTGGGAGGTTTCAGAAAGGACACAGAATTGACTGAAAATGGAGCAGCCAGGATAGAGCCTTTTCTGGGTTGCAGACACTGTAGAGGGCCCTGAAACCCTGAGTGTGAGTCCTGCCTCCCTCACCAGTGCCCACGGGCAACATTGTGCCAGCAACTTCCCATAGTATTGCCTCAAAAGGTAGCGATAAAGGTCAGGGGCAACAGAGAGAAAGGTGTGCCTGGCACCGGGCCGGGCTCCGTGGATGGCAGTGCGCCTCTCACTGTGGTTGGCATTTTCATTTTCTTGGTCTCCAGTGTCTGGCAAGGGACCATTTGTCTTCGCCAACATCCTTGTTGATGGTAAGAGGTTTATAAACAAAAGCCTTCTTAATGAGCGTGGGGGTTGGGGAGTGGCTTTTGGCAGAAGAATCTGGTCTGGGCCTTGGGATTTACGGCCGTCTGCGGCATCTCTGGCTCCTCAGCCTGGATGCCTGGGTGCCCACCCCCATGCCTGAGGGTGGTTTTCTTCCAGAAGGGGCTGCCTCTGGTCGCAATGGGTTCAGCCCCACTTGGTCCCAGGCTGGGAAGGGCCGACAAGTCAGCCTGGCTTGAGGGTGACAGGCTTTCCCTCCTGTGCCCACCTCCCGCTGCCCAGATGTGCCGCGTCTGCTTGGGGGATGCCCACAGCCAGCTGTCAAGACACCTGCTGGGAAGCGGCTTCTGGCCCTGCAGGGTCGGGCCCACCTTTCCCTTCTGTCCATGCTCCCCCATGCTCCCCCTGTCAGCCTCAGCATTTGCCTCTCCCACCAGACTAAGAGCCTCCTGAGGGCAGGGACCATGTCTGATGTGTCCGGGTCCTCGGTGTCAGCACAGACCCAGTGCAGAGCGGTCCACGGGTCACAGGTCTGAACCCTGGCTTCCAACACAGTCTGCCTGACTCCAGAGAATGTGTGTTTTCTAGCTGTGTGACCCTGGCCAAGTTACTTGCCCTCTCTGAGCTTTAGTTTTCTTAGCTGTAAAGGAGGGATGGATGATAGTAATCTCTGCACAGGGTTATCCTGCAGATTAAACTGGGATAAGCCATGGCAGTCCTGGGCACGGCACCTGGCATGTCCGAGATGTTCCATAAATACTATTGTCAGAGACCCACTCAATGCCTATGAACTTTTTCACTTGGTTGACACGTATGTCTTAAGTATTATGTCTGGGCCAGGTCCTGGACCATGTATGTGCTGGGCATGTACCAGTGACAAAACCTGATGCATCCCATGCTTTTAGAGAGCTAACATTTCAGTGCGAGTAACAGAATTGAACACAGTGTCACACAGTTGTTTAATTATAATTGTGGTAATGGTCTCTGAGAAGAAGTGCCAGGGGCCATGAAATGGACCGACAGGGGTCCTGGCCTATAGTCTGAAGAGTCAAGGAGAGCTTCCTGGAAGAGGAGGTGGACCCTAAAGGGCAAGCGAGATCAGCTGGGTGAAGAAGAGAAGGAAGAGCAGGTGCGAAGTTTCCGAGCAGAGGAAGAGCCTGGAGCAGGAGAAAACAGGGGTGGGGGTGGGTAAGGGGTTAGAAAAGCCAGCCTTGGAGCTGGGGGTGGGGCAGCGCACATTAAGGGTTTGGAGCTCACCTCCTAGAAAGGCGACGCGATCAGAAAGATTACTGTGCTGCTGTGTAGGGTGAGGGCACAGGTGGTTGTTGATGCCACAGGTTATAGTGTTCTGGGACGAGGAGACGGGGTCTGGGCCAGCGTGGTGCTGGGGACAGAGAGGAGAAGGAGTTTAGCGGAATGTAGGAGCTCCGAGTGGCCTCACCGGCTGGAAAGAGGGAACGGGAGGAGGCCGATGTGGCCGCCTGCTTCTGGCCGGTGCTGGACGGGGCGGTGGCGGCACCCTTCACCAGATAGGAACCGGAATTGGTGTAATAGATTTCTGAGTGCTGGAGGGTGCACAGGGAGCCCCGAGGAAGGGAAGGGGAAGCCCAGAGTGACAGCCTCCAACCACTGTAGAAAAGGGAAGCTGAGGCCCAGAGAGGAGAAGGGTTCGCCCAAGTCCCACGCTGGTTCGTGGCAGAGATGAGACCTGAACCCAGTATTCCTTTCTATTTTGACTCCCTCGAGGCATGGACCCCCATTTCCTCAGGAAGCCAGATATGACCGTCACTGCGTTCCTGTCCTGTCCTCCTCCCCATCCAGGTCATCCCAGACTGGAAGGAGCAGGAGTGGGACCCTGAGAAACCCAGCGCCTACGCGGGCATCTTCCACTTTCACTTCTGGCGCTTTGGGGAGTGGGTGGACGTGGTCATTGATGATCGACTGCCCACGGTCAACAACCAGCTCATCTACTGCCACTCCAACTCCCGCAGCGAGTTCTGGTGCGCCCTGGTGGAGAAGGCCTATGCCAAGTAGGTGCTGGTAGGGTCGGTGGGCAGGTGGCCAGGCTGGGG